AAATTATATAACAAATGCGATATTTGTATATCTCTACTGTAAAGCTTCATCTTAATATTAAATTTACTTTCCAACCTTCCCACCAACTCTGAATAACTTCATTACTTGTTCTAATTTGTATCTCGAGCTATGTACTACTATTGTTCAAGGACCCATGTCTCAAGCCACCTGCTGCCGTAATTAGAGTTCCTAGGCTAAGTTTTATGAAAAAGTACCATATTTGTCTGTAAACAAACACGTGGTTGCATTTTGCTAATCCATCTGAATTTGGAAAGTAAACAATGCTAATCTTTTGGAGGGGGTAAGCCAAATTTCTACTTTTTGTTGAAATTTTTTTGGAAGACCAACAGAAGGATAAGAGAGAGTAAAAAGGTACTACTTAACCAAGTAAAAGGAGTGTGGCTTGAAGAAAATAACAGGAGATTTTGTTGTTCCCCAGTGTCTTCAAATAAGTATAGTCTAAGAGCTTCGTTGATGAAAAAAGAGGAGCGTTCAAAGAGTAAGAGTTCTCTTCTTCACTAAAGATTTTTTATACAAGGGCACCTCTTGCCAGTTATCTTGTATAACAACACTCTTGGCTTGCATGCTAAATATCACCTTTAGAGAAGTCCCGCTAGCAGTATATTGACCTCTAGACAAACCACTACATTAAACATGACTCTTCAACAAAATTTGTGTTCTTTTGTAAAAATTTTGAACCGAGTAATTATTGAAAAGAGTTGTGAATTGTGATGCCTAACTACACTTATTACTTTTCTTATATTTGTATAATGTGATATTTTCTCTTTAAATTAAACTTATAATAAAGGATATTATCCTTCTCCAACTGCCAATTAGTATTCATATATTCACTACTTTATTTATATTATTTAATATCTTAACTTTCAAATTGGTATGTACCAGGTAAACACTTATTGCTCCCAGTTTGGTATGCCTAGTCTTAACTAGTATACTTCTAGGAGTTTATATCTCAAGCCATGCAGCTGCCTCTATCCAATTGGGTAAGTATCTCAAGCTTGATACTGCTGTAACTAGCTAGTTTCTTGTGACTTTCATCGGGAAAATTAAATAAGTGCAAATTTGCAAAAATCTGTATTTTTGCAGATTTTTGAAGAATTCTTGTAAAAAATCTGCAAAATTTTTTTAGAATTTGAAGTTTTGCACAGAATTGCATCTAATTTCTGTATTTATAGCATCAAATTTGAAGTTTTGCACAGATTTTCACTTAATTTATTATTTGATTTTTTTGCAAATCTGCACAAAACTGCAATAAAAAAATTTTTTTGATATTAAAACCCAGATCTTAACATTTCAAATTTAGTATTATATAAACAACTATACTTTCCAATATGGTAACAAAACTGTTCAGACATGTTTCATATCTGCTTTTAGTATCTAATATAATTAGATGGCATCATGAGGCCTAGAGGTTCTTAACAAGTGCATTATCATTTTCTATTTATGGTAATTCTCAGCAATTGTAGCCCCTGATTACTACTGCATTTACTTATACCAGCTATATTTGTATTGGTCCTTTTAATATTTGAAAACTCCTATACAGATACGACCAAAGCCTGTTAGATATATCAATATATATATACCTCCATGTTTCAACTTCTTATTGTCTAATAAGTTTCATATATGCCAGAGATGTTTTAAATCTGATAAAGCTAATTTTTTATCACAGATCCCTTTGTATTTACCACATTTCTTACCACTTCTAATTCTGGTTACTATCTAGTTATACTTTCAAACAAGATCTCCAATATTGCCTTAGAGATTGTTGGTACTATCTTGCCAATTGCAGATTTACATATACAACTTTTAGTAATAAACTACTTCACAATGAATCTCTTTCCAGAAATTCCTAATTCAGACCTGTATTCATTTAGACTTCTCATAGTAAGTATATTTAAATATTTGTAAGTAAATGTACCTACTAAGACTTGAACCCAAAACCTGCTTATAGAGGGTTGAGTGTCTAGACTACTAGACCATGGGATCCCAACCCTATATTAATTAAGTTGTCTAGCCCAATTTCTAGTAAAAATATATTATATTTACTAATTCTGTAAAGACTAGTTTCAGAGGCTTTGAAGGGTTTCTAAATACAAGTGTAAAAACAGTGAATTAACAGCTGCTCTTAAATGTTATAGCTTAATACTAATTTAAATTTAAATGAAATATTTAAGGTTATGATAAGTAATAATTACATTAATACTTGAATTATCTAATGATATAATGCTGTATTGAATTTCTATAATTATAAGATAGACATTTAAGCTATTACTATCTAAATATTATTAGATTCTGGAAGGCTGTAAAAGGTAAAGAATTTGAGTGTATTAAATATAATCATATTTAAACAAAATCTTCATCTATTCCAGATAGATAGATACAGTATTAATAGGTATTATAATATGCATTTACAATATTGTTTTTAAGATAAGTTATTTTTTTTGTAAATATTATTTATGAATATAGCTGATTCTAACTAACTAGTTTTTTAAAAATAAGTTATTCACATTCACACTTATTTATTACTACACCGAATCATTATTGTTTTTGTATTAATCTATTTGGTGAGTGATGGAGATTAAAACCCTTCACTATATTTCGCCTTATTAGATTCAACTCTCATATAGAATGAAAGGCTGTATTGGCCAATAAGTAATCAAAAATTTTTTTTAATATCTAGCACCAAAAATTTTAGCATCAAATATTAATGTTTTAAATCAATAATAAAAAGTATGAAAATGCTTGAGTAATGCTTTATTCACTTTAAATATTTATAAATTTTTATAAGTCAACGCAAAAAAAAAAGATGATTCAGAATAAATATCTCAAAATTTTATAAACCGCAGTTTTTAGCCGTAGTTTAAACTATGGCAAATCGATTTTATGATATAGTGATTAGTGTTCTGGATTCCACAGATCATCAATTCGAATCGTAAAACCAGTTTGGGCCAAAAGTTTCAGATTGCCTGGATTAAGCCTAATTTTGAAATTTGGGTTGTTTTTTTTTTCACATTGCACTAATATATAAATTTTAAATCGACCATGTTAAAATATTTAGCCATTAAATACTTCGGGTTGGCACCGTATTCAACCCGAAATTTCGGATTCAGTCGGTTTCGGTTCAATCCCGGATCAAACCCGAGTTTTTTAATCCGAATCGGAACATTAGAAAAACCGTAACTCTGGTCAAATTTGCAACTAATTTCGAACCAGGCCAAATGATCTACAAATTTGACCAGAGCTACGACTCGTGGGTTTTTCTATATGATTGACCAGAGCTACGACTCGTGGGGTTTTCTATTTATCAAATTCCGTCAACCAGGGCCGACCTTTTTGCTAGTTTCAATTTTTCTGACCAGAATTAGTCACAATATCTATATTAAACTTGTAAAAAGATATTAAGTAGTTCCTTACCATATTCTAGTGATACTAAATCATTTGGTTTTTATTCTTTTTGTCTTTGAGAAATTCTAACGTTAGATTAATTGTCTATGCATCCGAACATTTCCATATTTTATGTTAATTTTATGTTCATTTTTGCCAATTATTATTTAAATTAGCCAATTAATGAACATTTACATTCAATTTCTTAGCCTTAGAAGAATCGATTCTAACCTATCTTTTATCGACCGGCCCGGCCGTTGAGTTGGGGTCAGCCAATACCACTAAGTAGGTCATGTCTTCTATATAATAATGCACATGCGCAACTCGTTATATTTATCAGATTTTGTATTTATTCCATCGCATAACGGGCTTTTTGCTATCGTTATACTGTAATCACATTGAAAAAAAAGCTTTCAGTATAGGAAATGTACCCTGGTAGAAATTGCTATTACGTGATATAATAGTAATTTATCCGGATAACCCGGATAATTTAATAATACTCTATTCCGGTATTTTTGGAAAATGATATTCACAGATTTTAAATAGCAATTATCGTTATCGTTATCGTTATGGGTCGCTAAATCACGGTCATGACATCATACCAAGCGAAAATAACACGCTACGGAAAAATAAATTTATTTATCCGGTATTTTGACATTTTAATAATTTTTATGCATGTGAGTTCATGCATTGAACCCGAACTATACCGGATTAAAATATATCCAGACCAATGTGTTATTAAAGCATTAAGTGATAATCATAACTACAGCTCCACAGTGTTTCGAATATTATTAGTAAGGCTCTATCATGCTTTACTAACATTAGAATATTACCAGAATTAGCAGAAAGTGATTTAATTGGTCGAGATGTTCGCATCTTCGGTGTTTGGCACTCCGCGCCGAACTATTAAACATACCAATTATATTCACTTAAATCTGGAGATAATAAGAAATCTCCGGCATTTTTCTTTCAACAAAGAAAATATTCGGATATTTTATATTATCGTATGTACTGAACAGTATTGAAAGAGGTGTATAATGATAAAAGATCCAGCCACGAGATCTGTCGTGGATCAAAATACTTGCGAGCATAAACTTTTTTTATTGTAAATTTTGGATTAGATTTCATTACTCATTACAATTGTTCGCATTTTAGTCTCAATTCAAATTGCTATTTTAATAATAATATTTGATAGTATTATCAGAAATTTAACTATAGGGAATGAAACATTAAGTTGTACGTATAAGTTGTATATATTAGTGCATTAAGCATAGATTCATTGTTCTGTATCAAACATTTCTGTTACACAGTCCAGTTTATAGAGAATAAGGAATTCATTAACCTCAAACGTCAATGACATGAATTTTTAGATGACCTGGTGGCAAATTTAGTGCAACATGACAATAATTAATAAAAAAGTCAAAAGAAAAAAGAAAAACAGAAATAGGTAACTAAATTAGTAATCTTTGCGATCCAATCATTAATAATATAACATTAATAGAATACAATACAATGCATAATAAATATACTACATATACACACCATGTGACGGTTTCCTAACACTTAAAAATTTTCGTACGTAGGACATTTGTGTTCATTCAAAAGGACTTTTTTGTAACAGCAGCATTTAATTTCATTATAGCATTTTCACACATGCTCATAACCTAATGGAAAGTAAAAATACTTTAGGGTTTAAAACTTAAATTATTTTTTAAACCAAAAAAAGCCATATTAATAACAATTTACCAATTGATCTCCAAGCAAACCATTGGTTACAAAAGTTTTTTGCTGTTCTAGGATCATCTTGGCTTTTTTAAAATTCCCAAGTTGAATTAAACCTTCAGAATAATAGATCCAACATTTACATTCTAACTCAGGATCTTGTAATTTTTTAGCGAGTTTAATTTGGTTACGAGCAAATTTTTTAGCCTTAATAGCCTATATTGTTTACACAAATAGTAATTAAAATACAACAATGATAATAATAATAATGGTAATAATAATGACAACATATTTTTTTAATAATATAATAATAATACAAACATATTCTTTATTATATCTTCCAAGCGCTGAATAAGCACCACCGAGGACTGAAAAAAAATTACTTTGAAAAGTGAATATTCCTTGATATGAAATAAGCGAATAGAGTTTTTTCGACCTTGTGAAATAAAAAAAAAAATTGATTAATAATTATTTTTAAATATTGTAAATAAACAAATAAATAATATAAATGTATGTATGAATGTATGTATGCATGTATGTATTATGTGTATATTATGTACATGGATGTTTAAATATAGAATATAAAAGAAATTTGATTTTTACCAATTCAAACCAGGTAGCCACCTGATTTGTTCACTTAAATTCAATTCCAAAATAAGTTTAATATTTGGAGGAAGTTTCAAATTTGAATCTTTTTTACAAGTAAAGAAATTATTTCTCCAACAAGCATATAATAAAATCCGGATCGTATTATAAAATGAATCAGGCCAATCGTAAACAAGAAGACAGCTCCTGAGAATATGATAAGTACGTATACCTTTCACCGATATTTTTACACATGATCTTGATTTGTTATACGACCTATACGAATAAATGGAAGTTGATATATAATGTCTAGAAATATTTTTCAAATTCCATTTTATTGGTCGTTTATATTTTTCTAAAAAGAAATTATCATTGGAAAATTTTTTTAATAACCAAATTCTGCAAAAAGCAAAATATTAATTCGTACCAACTGAAGCATTTATCCAAGGCCAATTCTCCTTTGATTCAAACAAAAATTGACTATTAAAGAGATCTTTGTGATATGTAATAAAATTAGACATTTTTTAACCGATGTAAGGTTTGTGATGCTTAAATTATAACTTTTTTTTAGGGCGAATGTAGAAATAATATATATTCCCTGATTGGGATGAATGATTGGTAATTACCAGAAATTTGTAGACACAGCCTACATCTGCATCTGTCGCACAATTTATCAATCATACGACTCAAAATAGTGCAATTATTTTTTGATCACTATATACTGTACGTATGTTTACCCTGAAATGTACTACTATTAACAATCGGGTATGTTGCTCAACTTATTTGTTGTCATTTGCATAAAGTACTCGTAAAAAATGAAATTAGTTTATGTCGTAAAACAATTTTACCCCTTTACCCCGCTGCAAGAAATTCTATCTCACTTTTTAATCCTCGTTCTTTTAAGCAAAAAATATGAAATTTGAAAAAGTACGCTGAAATTATGTTGCATTGCATTATTTTTGGTTGATTTTTTTTTTCTTTAACGTTACTTTAACGTTAATTTAATTATTTTCACATATTTTTGTGGTTTTTTTTGTAGTTTAAATCTAGAACATTACAGTCAAAATGGACAAAATTATTTGTTCTTACTTCAGTTTTGCAACTTATTATCATTGTAGCATTGGAGGGGCGCGTGCTTCAGCGAAACAGTAGTTTTCGATACAAAATACAGAGTCAAATTAGTCAATTTAATAGTACAACCACCAACACAACAAACACCAACTCAACTTGTAATCTCGATCCTTCATCTGAAAGAATGTATAATATTGAGTCGGAAAATGTAGTTTTTATGGTTTTTCAACTCTTTCAGCTATTTCTATGCATGAACGCGGTAATTTAATTTTGTATTATTTCATTTTGTTTCTTCCATCGCATAAATATTAATGACTGCTTTATTAATATTTTATTAATATATTTTAGGTATATAATCAGAATACGATCCAAATTATTACAATTGCAGTTACAAACTTTCTTTGTGGACTTTACGGCATTGTAAGATATTAATATTTAATATTTATCTTATTTATCTTATTTATCTTGTATAATTACGCATAAAGTTGTTGAGGAAATTGCTGGATTTTTCGTTATTTAAAGTTCGATACCTTTTTTAAATCAATTAGAATTTTTATGGTCGTCCAGAGGTTTAAAATACTAATTGGCTTAAAAAAGCATCTTACTTCCATTAAGGAAACTTCCAGATATTAGGTAAATATAGCCCCCAGAGTCAGTCGTTTGACACAATCATTTGACACAATCATTTGACAATTACAAGTTCTAAAATAATCAATCGTTTGACAATTACAAGTTCGAATTTGTAATTGTCAAACGATTGTGTCAAACGACTGATTCTGGGGGACTATATTTACCTAATATCTGGAAGCTTCCTTAAGTAAATTCATTAAAGTTATTGTGAAAAAAAAGTTATCACGGAATCCGGCAATTTTCTTATACTGATCAGTGTTAAAAATCTTTGTTAAAAATTCGGCTCAAATATGCTGTGCAAAAAAATTTTTATACAGGAATGTTATTTTATTTTTGACATATTGCACATTGCAAAGTAATTGGTTTATTTTCGTGCAAAAAATAATACATGCACGAATTTTTAACACCGATACTGATTAAACAATAGTTATTAATATTCAATAATTTAATCGAAATATTTAAATCGATGTTAGGTCCAAATTTTTGAGATCAAAAAATGGGTTTCAGATTTACAAATCAAAAACTGTCCTGACAATAGTGCATTTACAACCCAATTCGCGAAACAGTATGGGTCATATGATATACCTCTTGTTATCTTCTTAGTTATTTTTGCGTCAATTATCGCATTCATCAGTTTTAAACTGTACCAAGAATTTGGCTGGAATATTTATAAGAAAATTGGCGCTGATATTCAAATGCAAAGTAATTTATTATTTTTCGATAAATTTGATACTTTAATTGACATCCTTTAATTAATTAATTCATTAATTATTATTATCTTTTTTCAACAGAAATATTTAAAACGATGCTTATTTTTGTATTGTTGCTCAAAATTGATCTTTTCTTTGTTCTTCTAACCGGTGTTGAGGCTATTGCAACTTTACATTATGACAAAGACCCCAAAAAACAAGATGCTAGCCTTTCCCTTTCTAAAGGCCTATTTTATTTTCATTTGGTTATAACAATAATGATTCTTTTCTTAGAAGTGCTTGCTTATAGCTCGGTAAATATCTGCTCACTACTCACTATACATTTATTAAAAAAATGGTTGTGATTTTTAATTTTTTATTTCAACAGCTAAGGAGAGAGAACAAGCCAGGAATGATCCTGTACATCGTCTTATCCACCGTTACCATTGCCGACTTTTGTATTATTTTGAGGTCTTCGTTAAAAGCAATTGATCAAGCCTGGTACTTCTTTGTAGTAATCGGTACGTGTTACCTTATTACATATTAAAAGTTTTGTAAAAAAAAAAAAAGTTATTTGACATTAACATGTTTTTTTTTTTCTTTAATCGTGATATAGTTTTGATTGCAGTTATATTATCTATTGTGAGTTTATTTTTCATTTTATACAATCGTGTTTTACCACTTTTTTCTTGTTTATTAACTTCGGGATCTCGTCCAGGTCACGTGGGTATTTGCAATATTAGTATATTTAAACTTTGATAAAGGCTTAAGACCTCTTCGTAAGTTCATATATATTTTTTTTACATGTTATCTTTATTATTTTGTCGGATTCTTATCAGTTTTTTTTTTTAAAAAACAGTTGATAAACGAAGAGGTGATTCGGAAATAGGTGATACTACCCCAGGTGAAGGTGGAAGGGAAAAAATCGTTCTTGATTAGATTAATTATTATATCTTTAAAGTTTCATAAACAAAAACAAAAACTTTTCAAATTTGATTCATATACAATTACATTAATATATATATTTATAATTGTATGAACTAAAAACATACTCTTTTTTTTTTAAGGTAGATTAATTTACAAAAAATAAAGATCATACACCTTGCATACCATTTTTCGAAGATCATTTTTACTGCCGGTCATAAAAAATTTGCCAGTAAATTGACTTTCGGGAAATCGTAGCGGGAATTCTTTACATATTCTTATTTATCATTGGAACCTGTATTTTCGTTATTTCCACATTTACATTTGTGAAATCTAGAATCTACATGAACAACAATACTAAGATTTGTTTATACTGTACACTTTTATTAACTTTTATTAACAACTCTAACCCTACAACCCTAACCCAACCTTAAAGCATTCTAAAATTTCATATCGATATTGAAATCAGATTAGATCTATTTTTAATTTAAACTATATGTATATATAAAAAATTTGATAGCAAATTTTTTGACATTGATTTTTAACGGTGGTAAAATTATTAAAATTGTTATTTGACGAGATATATTTTTTTTTGTGATTTAAAAAATTTGAATTCACCCAAGAAAGCATTTTGATGTACGAACAAAAATTGTGTAGTTTTGAGGTTGCACTTAACGTGTCATCGCGTGATTAACGCGTCAGACTCTCGAGATTTCATAGATAATATTCACAAATTTTGAGCTTTTCTTATTTTGCAGTGAGATATTACATGAATTTATGTCTTTAAACTGTCAGCTTGAAGACATCAACTCATGTAATGTCCCCCGCTGCAAACAAATAAACTCAAAGAACTTGGATAAAAGAGTGTATAATTGTTAAATGTAGTAATCGTGTCTAAGTATTCGACTTAATATTCGAATTACTCCAAAACATAACTTGGAATAAACTCGCGATGGTCTATCTATAGTTCTAATCATATCAATATCGTTAATTGAATACTCAAACAAGTCGAATACACGCTTCTGTTAGTTTAGGGTTGATAGTTGTGTAACTACCATACTATCTCAGAAATCCGGTTCATCTTCACATAGCAATAGAAGGTAGGTTCTATGTAAAGTGGTT